CTCTCTCTCTCTCTCTCTCTCTCTCTCTCTCTCTCTCTCTCTCTCTCTCTCTCTCTCTCTCTCTCTCTCTCTCTCTCTCTCTCTCTCTCTCTCTCTCTCTCTCTCTCTCTCTCTCTCTCTCTCTCTCTCTCTCTCTCTCTCTCTCTCTCTCTCTCTCTCTCTCTCTCTCTCTCTCTCTCTCTCTCTCTCTCTCTCTCTCTCTCTCTCTCTCTCTCTCTCTCTCTCTCTCTCTCTCTCTCTCTCTCTCTCTCTCTCTCTCGAAGGACATGTAAAAGGCACGAGCCCGGTACGACGTATCACAATGTACCGCTAGTGTTCTGACGTCGGCCCAACGGACGAGTACTTACTACTTACTGGCGTGGCACATACCAGGCGCGCAATTATCGCAGATCATTTCCCCAGTTATGTACCGCTAACTGTGCCCGCCCAACAGCTGGGAGTGGAGACCATATATACCGCCGGGCCGGGAGGTCACAGTTGGATGGACGGCGGCCGTCCATACCGCCCGGCCGGGACGTCACGGTCCAAACCGCCCGGCCGAGGGTCACAGTCCATACCGCCCGGCCGCGGGGACGTCACAGTCCATACCGCCCGGCCGGGGGTACAGTCCATACCGCCCGCCCGGTCGGGGGTACAGTCCATACCGCCCGGCCGGGGGTCAGAGTCCATAGACTCCATACCGCCCGGCCGGGGGTCACGGTCCATACCGCCCGGCCGGGGGTCACAGTCCATACCGCCCAGCCGGGGGTCACGGTCCATACCGCCCGGCCGCGGGGTGACAGTCCATACCGCCCGGCGGGGGTTACAGGCTGCTGGACGGCGGCCGCTGCTCGACGGCGCCGTCGTCGATCAGCTGGCGCACCTCGGCCTCGTCGAAGCCCTCCTCTAGCAGTACCTCCGTCGAGTGCTGCCCCCGGCGCGGCTCTGCGCCGCCGCCGGCGGCCGGCGTGCGCTCCAGCCGCGGCGCCGGCGCCGGCTCCGGCCGGCCGCGCGCGCCAGACACAAAACTGGAGCGCGCCACGGCGCCGGGCGCGGCGGCCGCCTCGTCGGCGCTCAGCACGGGCGTGACGCACGCGTCCTGGCCGGCGAACACGGCCGCCCACTGGGCCTGCGTGCGGCGCGCGAACGCGGCGGCCACGCGGCGGCGGCCGTCGGCGCAGTCGAAAGGCAGCTGCTCCAGGCCCGGCTCACCCAGCAGCTCGGCAAACCGGGCGAAAAACTTGGGCTCCAGCGCGCCGACGGCCATGTAGCGTCCGTCGGCGGTGCGGTGGCAGCCGTACCAGAAGGCGCCGCCGTCCAGCCTGGCCGGCGCGCGGCCACACACAGCGTCAGCACACCGACGGGCCTGGACACTAGGTGCGCGGGCAGGCAGATACAGGGTCTTTCATAATGAATGTTACTTTTGAAAGAGCTATTTCTCAGGACATATATGTCCCTCATGTAATATGTACCATCACATAAAACAGAAACACATTAGCGTTTTTGCACACACAACTTTCATTTTAGTGCTCCACAGGAATTTTCCACTGTATCGCCCTTAATTAAGACACACGTTTCGGCCCTCTGACGAAGGTGTCGCACCCCGCGCCTCACAACGCCTGGGTCCAGGCTTCCAGAAAACCTCTCCACTGTGGTTCGCAGTGGATGGCTGCAGGAGGGTTTTGTCTCAGATCTGCAAATGCGACTCCCCAAAACCAGTAGTCCAGCGGGGAGAGGTCAAGACTCCGTGGTGGCCATGGTCGCTCGGTGAGGCGGCTGATAACGCGCTCTTCGAAATTTTCGATCAGCCACTGGCGCAACAGCTGCCGTGGTGTGCACTAAGGCACCATCCTGCTGGAACCAAAAGCCGTCTCTTTGAACCTTGTCCCTGACCTGAGGCAGAAGCATTCCTTGAGCAGCCTGAGGTAAGCCACCCCGTTCAGTGTTGACCCAGGGGAGAGCCAATGGATGAAGACTTGTCCGTCGACCGTAATCCGTAATGCGTTTTAGTGGTGTCGACATACTCTGCTTTTGCGTGAAGGAAAATTGGCGTTGTGATTTTTTAATTTTTGGGGACAAAACCCTAATCAATTTGCAACAATATGCATATAAAATTGACGCGGAAGTGATAAATTAAGAGCTCCTAACTAAATGTTCAAAAGTAACATTCATTATGAAAGACCCTGTAGATAGCATGGCCAAAGGAACAAATACTACAGTAGAGTCGAGGAAAGAAATGCGCTACTACGGCAGAAGCAGCTGAAATTGGAAACAGCCTAGCGAACTAAAAGTAACTTACTGTTGGACAGACAGGTCACTGATTATCAGGGTTGGCAGGGGGTGGCAAAAACTGGTTTTTGCCAGTGGTTTTAACCGGTTTAAACCGGCTGGCAGAAACCCTGGTGGCAAGAACTGGCAAAAACTGGCTAAAACTCAGATGGCCAAACCTACAACTTTACTAGTTAGGAATGGATTTGAAATGTACAAATGCATTTCAGGTAGTTATATAGATGCACTAAACATTCTGAAGTTGCCTGATTACTTATCCCTGCGTAAAATGTCTATGCATGTCGGTAGACATCCACAACGGAATGTATTTCCATGTAAGGGGAGAGTGGGACAAGGCGGCCACGGTAAGTAGGGTGTCATGCGGTGCCGTGCGCATATCAGTGGCAGATACCTCTTCGCACTTCTGATTGTGCAGGACTCACCCAGTCACCCTTGCACTGGCTCATTTGTCACCCCCAAAAGGGATCTTACTAGCTCCTTATGGATAGCCCATGAAAATGTTTCTGAGTTAGGTATGAAACATTTCAATGGTTAATGTCACTTCTGTTTGAAAGCATAAAGCTCATAAAGCTTTCACCGAATTCTCCTTAAAATGTTTCCTGTTCAAAATCATGTCTAGGCATAGCATTGTGATATTTCTGAGTTTATGCCAGTTTTTGCCACTTTTTGCCGGTTAAAACCGGTTTAAACCGGCAAATGGCATAAACTAGTTTTTGCCGGCAAAAATGCCAACCCTGCTGATTATATCCACTGGAACTAGTTAATGAAGTGGAGACGTTAACCAGTCAGAAAACATCTTACTTAATTGACGAATACATTGATTAAAACCGTCACCTATTAGCCGCTTCCCTCCCAAAAAGTCTCATTACGTTAAAGCATTCCGCAAAGGGGGGGGGGGCTGGGATGGGATTGTTGGCGCGCCTGTCTGTCACCCTCAGTATCTGACAGTAAGCGCTCAGAGAGAGGAGACCACAGCGGGTCGGCGATACTCACACATTGGTGCCCGCCTCGCGTCCCCAGACCGGCTGCAGGTCGCGCGACTTGAACAGCCAGCTGGCGACGTACGCGGCGCCCTCCGTCATACTGCAGTCGACCACCTGGCCCTTACCAGACCTGCCGACACACAGATAGTGAGACAGTGCTGGGGACATGGGCGGCGGGCGCCCTCCGTCATACTGCAGTCGACCACCTGGCCCTTACCGGACCTGCCGACACAGTCAGACAGTGCTGGGGACAGGGGCGCCCTCCGTCATACTGCAGTCGACCACCTGGCCCTTACCGGACCTGCCGACACACAGATAGTGAGACAGTGCTGGGGACAGGGGCGCCCTCCGTCATACTGCAGTCGACCACCTGGCCCTTACCAGACCTGCCGACACACAGATAGTGAGACAGTGCTGGGGACATGGGCGCCCTCCGTCATACTGCAGTCGACCACCTGGCCCTTACCGGACCTGCCGACACAGTCAGACAGTGCTGGGGACAGGGGCGCCCTCCGTCATACTGCAGTCGACCACCTGGCCCTTACCGGACCTGTCAGACAGTGCTGGGGACATGGGCGCCCTCCGTCATACTGCAGTCGACCACCTGGCCCTTACCGGACCTGCCGACACAGTCAGACAGTGCTGGGGACAGGGGCGCCCTCCGTCATACTGCAGTCGACCACCTGGCCCTTACCGGACCTGTCGACACAGTCAGACAGTGCTGGGGACAGGGGCGCCCTCCGTCATACTGCAGTCGACCACCTGGCCCTTACCGGACCTGCCGACACACAGATAGTGAGACAGTGCTGGGGACAGCGGCGCCCTCCGTCATACTGCAGTCGACCACCTGGCCCTTACCGGACCTGCCGACACAGTCAGACAGTGCTGGGGACAGGGGCGCCCTCCGTCATACTGCAGTCGACCACCTGGCCCTTACCGGACCTGCCGACACAGTCAGACAGTGCTGGGGACAGGGGCGCCCTCCGTCATACTGCAGTCGACCACCTGGCCCTTACCGGACCTGCCGACACAGTCAGACAGTGCCGGCGCCCTCCGTCATACTGCAGTCGACCACCTGACCCTTACCGGACCTGCCGACACAGTCAGACAGTGCTGGGGACAGGGGCGCCCTCCGTCATACTGCAGTCGACCACCTGGCCCTTACCGGACCTGCCGACACAGTCAGACAGTGCTGGGGACAGGGGCGCCCTCCGTCATACTGCAGTCGACCACCTGGCCCTTACCGGACCTGCCGACACACAGATAGTGAGACTGTGCTGGGGACACGGGCGCCCTCCGTCATACTGCAGTCGACCACCTGGCCCTTACCGGACCTGCGGACACATTCAGACAGTGCTGGGGACAGGGGCGCCCTCCGTCATACTGCAGTCGACCACCTGGCCCTTACCGGACCTGCCGACACACAGATAGTGCTGGGGACAGGGACGCCCTCCGTCATACTGCAGTCGACCACCTGGCCCTTACCGGACCTGCCGACACAGTCAGACAGTGCTGGGGACAGGGACGCCCTCCGTCATACTGCAGTCGACCACCTGGCCCTTACCGGACCTGCCGACACAGTCAGACAGTGCTGGGGACAGGGACGCCCTCCGTCATACTGCAGTCGACCACCTGGCCCTTACCGGACCTGCCGACACAGTCAGACAGTGCTGGGGACAGGGACGCCCTCCGTCATACTGCAGTCGACCACCTGGCCCTTACCGGACCTGCCGACACACAGATAGTGAGACAGTGCTGGGGACAGCGGCGCCCTCCGTCATACTGCAGTCGACCACCTGGCCCTTACCGGACCTGCCGACACAGTCAGACAGTGCTGGGGACAGGGACGCCCTCCGTCATACTGCAGTCGACCAACTGGCCCTTACCGGACCTGCCGACACAGTCAGACAGTGCTGGGGACAGGGATGCCCTGCTGTCATACTGCAGTCCGTGACCCCGTTACCGGACCCTCGCCCGAGTACACACATACACCCACAAACCCACCCGGTCCTCTCTAGCAGGGCGAACCGACCTGGTCCCCTCGAGCAGGGTGAACCAAACCCACCTGGTCCTCTCGAGCAGGGTAAACCAAACCCAACCCACCTGGTCCTCTCGAGCAAGGTAAACCAAACCCACCTGGTCCTCTCGAGCAGGGTAAACCCAACCCACCTGGTCCTCTCGAGCAGCGCTGCCAGGACGCCCAGCGCGCAGGTGAGACCGCCGCCGGCAAAATCGGCCAGCAGGTTAACGGGCGGCACCGGCGGCCGGTCGGGGGTCGACAGGAACGACAGCACGCCTGCGGGCAGTCAGTGGGGGGGGGGGGACATCAGAACGCCTGCGGGCAGTCAGTGGGGGGGGGGGACATCAGAACGCCGGTGGCAGTCAGTGGGGAACGGCAGCATGCCTGCAGCAGTCGGTGGGGGGGGGGGGGAATCAGAACGCCAGTGGCCGGTCAGGGGACGACAAGAAGGACAGCACGCCTGCGGCAGTCGGTGGGAAGACACCGGTCGCGGGAAGGACAGCACGCCTGCAGCAGTCGGTGGGAAGACACCGGTCGCGGGAAGGACAGCACGCCTGCAGCAGTCGGTGGGAAGACACCGGTCGCGGGAAGGACAGCACGCCTGCAGCAGTCGGTGGGAAGACACCGGTCGCGGGAAGGACAGCACGCCTGCAGCAGTCGGTGGGAAGACACCGGTCGCGGGAAGGACAGCACGCCTGCAGCAGTCGGTGGGAAGACACCGGTCGCGGAAAGGACAGGACGCCTTCGGGCAGTCAGTGGGACGGGGCAGCTGTCGAGCGGCCCTGACGGGCGGAGTAGGCATCGGGCAGCCGGTCGCAGGGCACGTACCACACGAGGCCGTGTGTGAGGCAGCAGCCAAGTGGTACGGGGCGCCAGTCACACAGTACGTACCGGACATGGCCAGGTAGTTGATGTCGTGGCCCGCCCAGTCGGCCGTGGGGCCAGTCTGGCCGTAGCCGGTCAGGCGGGCGTAGACGAGCCGTGGGTTCTGCTTCAGCAGCGCCTTGGGGCCGAGACCGAGTCGCTCCATCACACCTGCACGGCGGCCGACACACGCACCGGTCAGGGAAACGAACGGGGCGCCCCGACAGGTCACACACGGGTCGGGTCAGGGTAACGAGCGGCGCGGCTGACAGGTCACACACAGGTCGGGTCAGGGAAACGAACCCTGACAGGTCACACACGGGTCGGGTCAGGGTTTCTAACAGCCAGCCGGCACACGGGTCATGGTTTCTAACAGCGGGCCGGCACACGGTTCAACGCCCCGAACTGCGCGGCCAGGACGAGCGGAAATCGGTAACACATTGACAGTTGGAAGTTGGAGGTCCATAAATGTTAGCGAATTAGCGAATTGAACAGCCCAAAGCCGGCGGCAGCGACACAGCCATGAGGAGCGTCCCGGATCTGTGCAGCAGCGAGGAGTGAGACTGCACTGAATGCCGAGTGCCGATCTGAGCCGGCGTGCTGCCGCGGCCCGCCCACCTGGTCTGAAGGGCTCGAGCAGCACGTCGGCGCGACTGCAGAGCCGGCGCACCACCTCCGCGCCGTCCGGGTGCTTCAGGTTCACCGACACGGAGCGTTTGCCGCGCGCCAGGGCGTCCATCTCTGGGTGGCCGAGCTGGCGGCGCAGCACAGCTCCCGTCAGTCACCTCGGGAGCAGTGGGGGGGCTCTGCAGCCACCCACAGAGCGCTACATCGACAAACAATCAAATTATAGCGCAAGGCCGACAGTGCTCTCCCAAATTAGCAAAGGTCAAGGCCTTCAGCAAGAACTGTACCTATGTAAGGTAACGATTATAGTCTGTTTCTAAATTAATCAAAACAAAATTCGGTCCATTTTTTACACATAAGCAAATCTGATGAGCTGGCTACCTACTCTCTCAGATGATTAACCAGTATAACGCCTTTTGGGGCGACTAACGGAGCGAGCGAGAGGGTGGGCCTTGCACGTGCGAAATTGCGAGGGGGTACCTCCAACTGACTTGTGCACGGCACCCTACTAACTGGTCTCTAGCGATGTGCCAAATTTGAGCACAATCGGCCCAGCCGTTCTCGAGATCTGGAAGCGGCACCCTGCACGTGCGCACGTGCAAAATGGGTCCCAACTGACTTGTGCACGGCACCCTACTAACCGGTCCCTAACCGTGTACCAAATTTGAGCGCAATCGGTCCAGCCGTTCCCGAGATCTGGAAACGACCCCTGCACGTGCGCACGTGCAGCAGCACCCCAACTCTGGCACATGTATATGCAGTGCCTAGTGGGTGCCTACCTACATGCCAACTTTCAGCGCAATCGGCCAAGTAGTTACCGAGATATTGCAACAATTACAAAAGTGACACCTCTTCGTTTTGCACGTGACACGTGCATAAGGGGTCACCCACATGCATCGGGAATAGTCCAATAATTGGTAGAAGGAATGAAGTTACCCTACAAAAATTACCGCGTGTAAATCGGTCAAGTGGTTGCTGAGATATAAGCCTCGCAAAAGCGTGACCACGGCCGGCCGGCCGCTCATACTCAGAAATTTCCGTTAATCTAAGGAAAGACTACGCTCGCTTCGCTCGCTCCGTAATCAATAATCATCTACTGCTAGTTATGGTAAAACAAATGCTAGATTTGAGGAAAATTCATGTTTATCAAGTAGGTACCCATGGCGACGTTTGCATTTTAATGGCAAAAAGCATAATGAAACTTTCACTTGATGGTCCAGCTGGCTACCAGAACCATAAGGAATAATTGCATTTACTCCTCAATCATCATCAAGAGTTGGAGAAGGAGCAATACAATGATATCATAGAAATAGAAATAACAGCTGGAGAACAATAGAAAATAAAACACTTGACTTCCTCATACAGGTAATGCACACAAGCTCCTCTTGCAATAAGACTGAAAAATCGAAATAATATTCCTGAAACCTAACAATGCATTGAGGTTGCCTTACCTTGTCCACTCTGATGACTGAGGCACCAAAGTCCTTCAAAATCAGACCACAGAAGGGCGCTGGTGCGAGGCCCGCCATCTCCACCACCTTGATACCTTTCAATGGCATCATTGTACTGTTTTCACCCTGAAAAGTTAAATGGTACTGTTGTGAATTTTGCTATTTTGATTTATTCAACAGACAACAGGCATTTCACCCACTATTCACAAAGACTTAATCACAAGATTAAAAGCAATAAATATGGCAAACACAGTCAGCAGTCAGCACACACAAACACATAAAGACACAGGTGGGATCAGGTGAGATAAGTTTGAACACACCCCAGAACGAAAAACGCAATGCTTGAATAAAAATAAAACTAAGATAAAATCAAGAAAAACACAAAGTATAAAAACAAAATGTTAAGACCATTGTGTGGTTAGTGGTAACTGGGGTATGGTAGCCATTTTGCACTTGATTTTTGTTTTATCACCTAAGAAAACAAAAACTAAATAGTCAACTGTGCCCCGTTGTTACCCTTTCATATAAATATGACATGCTGGGCTGGCAGCTGAACAAAGACCCTTCAAAGTGTTACAAGAGGTTATCCCAAAATAATGTCAGCAAGACATTGCATAAACACTTGTCTCAATCCTATACTATATTATTCTTATCTTCTGATAAGTGAGTGATGATTAAGAAGATATCAAATCAATAACAAAAGTTAGCAGCTATCTGCTATGCACTGAATTTGACAAGGTACAGCAACTTCCGAATCATAATAACAAATAAATGATTATCTATAATTTAAAATATTTCAATTGACATAAGCAGCTATTACAATTATGATCATGTATACCACATATGCCTACTTACAAAAGCTTCCATTTGATTTCAATTTTGACTCCTTTCCACTTTGTAAACACTAAGAATAGCAAGGAAATATATGATGCATCAGCATCAAGACTCAAACATGAAGTCAAAGTTAGAATCAGAATAGGTGCCAGTTAATATCTAGCATTTTGAAAAATCACCAAACCTAAGCACATTGGAAGAATCAAGTCTCAGTTGAAGTGGGCATCAGTATACAGATAAGATTGAGATGGAACAAAGGTCACATGGGTCACACATGACAGACTTTGAGGCCAGACTCTGAGGCCTGAGCCTGGCTGTTCAGAGGCCTCAGCCATGGGCCCATGCATTACGATATGGAATTCATATCTCACAAAAAGCATTCACCTGTGAAAAAGGGGTGGACAATAGGGGGAGGTAAATAGTAAAGGGCACATATCAGACAGCAACACGTAAATTGTAGCACTTTAAAATAATATTATTACAAATTATTGTAGTTTGTTAACTAATGGACTGCCACCAGGTAATAGTTTTTAGGCTTTCAAAAATATTATTTTTCCTTATTCAGTAACGCAATCTGTTACCATAATGAAAATGTGCCCCGCGGCCACCTCCCCCGAACGGCCGGTCGAAAAAGGCCCCTATTTCTTATGTCTTTGATATCACCTTTCTTCTTGTTTCCTCTCCCTTATTTGTATTGCTATCACACCCAACTCCTAGACCACTTGACTGATAAATGATAACTAATACAGATAACTACCAGTAACTAAGCCAGATTACTCCTATATTGTTATCGTTCAGAAGCGAAAGCGACTGCGCGAGATATGCACCAGACGCGCCATGAACGAATTTAGAGCCCGCCACCAAATTGAAATGCGGAAAAGCAGTGGGAAGAGCACACATTTCCCCCTTGTCACGGAACTCAGCATCAAAAATCTCAGCTCATTCTTGTAGGCCGTTTATAACTTGAACCACGGCACAGAAAACAAAAACACGGCACACCGCCGCCATCAGACAAGAAACCAAGCAAGTAACCACGGCACACCGCCGCCATCAACCACAACAAAACCTCCAACCTGCTCCAACCCAGGGTATCAGTATAGAAAACCCGGAAAACCCGACTCCCGAACCTTCGGGCCGCCGCTCGCCCCCGGCCGTCGGTCAGCTGACCGCCGGAGGCGACCAATCAGAACCCGCAGACGCCGTCTCTCGGCAGCACTGACTGGATCAGACGGTCAGCGCCGATCGAGGCGACCTCTATTCGTCGGCATCACCAATAATTCCCGAAAGAGGCGCCTAAATCAGTAACACCCCTGAACCCTTGAAATACATAACAGAGTTATTGGACTGACCATGACGTAATGCAGATTCCTTAGTAACTCTTTTGTTGATTTTCATGCTCCTTACCCAATTTTAGCTAACCTAACATACTGACCAAACTCCAACAAATGTATATGCTCACTGCTCACGTAACCAGTCATTTTATTTTGATTTAGCTACTCAGTACTCCCACTACTCCTTTAGGTAGATGGTCGATCGCAGGCACTGCTTGTTGACGCCTGACCCCGTGTGCGGCTTGGGTTTGGCGGATTCGCTCAATCCTCGACAGCAAAACAGTAAAACTGCACCATATCATAGGCGGCAGAACGGGGGGGGGGGGGGCACTACTACTAGGGGACCGTGCCCTCCTTGATTTTGCAATTTTTACATTAGCCCTATGGGCGTTGCATGGAAATAATGGGACCAAAAGTCGGCAGTGCCGCCCCCTAATTGGTGTCCCGCCGCTACTGTCATATGAAGCGGTACTTGACGGATTCTGTCATCGAACTCCCCGCTGCTTGCACAATATGCACATTGCACATCTAACGATGCCTGGTTCATTTTAATTCGAGTAGCCACTGTCATTTTCAATACAGCGAAATCCGTTGTTTTCTATTCATTGCTGTGCCGTCACGGTAGCTGGCAGCTGCTAACGCCAGATGTGTCACAATATTTTACTAATTACTTCTTTATTTTCATTGTCAAGCACATATGCACCACTATAGAACAGGCAGGCCCACAACTAAGCAGCAAAGGCAAAGGCAAACGTCCAGATTAGTATATCGCAGTGCCGAACCAACCGGGCACATCGAAGCACATTATGCGTTTCATCCCAGCCAATTGTCACTGCACATGGCATGCAGCAGCCACCATGAGACGAATTACGGGGCCTGCCTGCTAGCCGTTGAGCGTTGTTCGAGTCGCCCGGCGGGATATGGTAGGCAGTTTACCATGCAGCAGGCGCCATGCATGTATCCCTATATTGGACAATCAGCAGAAAATGTGGAGCGCCCAATCCGCTAAATATATTCAATGCACCAAGCCCTTTTCCCTCCTACGATGCATACCTTACCTACGCAAGCCAGTTGTATATAATCCACGTTAAACCCATTGAGCGGTACAAAACGTCATTACAAAAATACGTATTTATAAAATCTCACAGCGGTTAACAATCTATCATCACAATGCCCAAAACAGCACCTAATATTGCCAATATCTAATGTAAATCTAAAGCCGGCCCTTCAAGCTTCAACACAAACTTGGCATCATGATTATCATGGAAATTACGTAAGTCTAAGACTCCGAGCATCTAAACCAGACACAGTAGCCCGGGCCACTGCACGACAGTCGACTGCAGGCACGCACACAGTGAGCGTTACGTTAGTGTAGCAGGCCGCCACCAAGCGGCACACCTTACCGCGTAACAACTGGACCGGCCTCTGTTTTCGTAACGTGGGCGCCCGAATCACACACCCCCGGGCTGCTCCCGAAGATTGGCCGCGCGGTCCGGCACCCTCCCCCGACCGGAGATGGGCCGCGCGGTCTGGCACCCTCCCCGACCAGAGCGGGCAGCTCAGTGCGGCACCCTCCCCCGACCGGAGATTGGCCGCGCGGTCCGACACCCTCCCCGACCGGAGCGGGCAGCTCAGTGCGGCACCCTCCCCCGACCGGAGCGGGCAGCTCAGTCCGGCACCCTCCCCCGACCGGAGCGGGCAGCTCAGTCCGGCACCCTCCCCCCGACCGGAGCGGGCCGCGCGGTCCGGCACTTTCCCCGACCGGAGATGGGTACGGCCGGCGCGGCAGCATGCAGCCGGCCTGACCCGAGCACCGGCCAGCGGTCGCCACGTCCTCTAGGCACGCGCCGCGCTGAGCTTCTCGAAGAGCGCGCGGTGGTTGGAGGACAGCTCCTGAAGGCCACAGGCGCGGTTGGCCGGCAAGGCCTCGTCTGTTGAACAGAGGGACAGTAAGCTACCGGAGCAGTTACGCTACATCGGCGCCAATGGAGCACTCGCCACATCCCACTGGTTTATTATAACCGCGTCAATGGCCCCCAGTGCCCGGAGGGACCTGCAACGGTGCAGTGGCCCGACCTCAGGTCCGTCCGAGCACAGGTCCCCTTGCATGACTGACGAGACCTGTGCACATCAGTGCACTGCTGCAGTGGTCCCATTCCGTCTGGTCCCATCAGTGACCAACTATGGTCCCATCAGTGGTCCGAATTCGGTCCAAACGGTGGTCCGAGCTCTAAACCCATCAGTGCTGCAAACTCCTGTCCTATCCGTGGTCCGACTCTAGTCCGAACACCTAACACTGGTCCGGGTGCAGTGCCCAGCAGTGCTGCAAACTCCTGTCCTATCCGTGCCCCGACTCTGGTCCGAACACCTAACACCGGTCCGGGTGCAGCAGTACTCACCGATGTACTTGGGGTAGTCCAGCTTCAGGTCCTCCATGAACTTGATGAACTGTTCTCGGGAGAGGGTCAGCCTCGGGTTCAGCGTCTTCTCTTCTGCCACCGAGGAGCTGGTGAAGCCTGGAAAGGGCACCATAAACAATAAACAACACACGAGATCGAGTCGTCACGACAAGTTTAAAGAAGAAAATATCATAAATCGTGAATTTCTAGTAAATGAGGCATATGTCAACATGTTCCCTTGTGTATATCTGCAGTATGGGAATATAGTATGGGAATATATAGTAGTATGGGAATATATACATTCCCATGTATATCTGCAGTTTCACTGATAAACAATGCCGACTTATGCGACAGTACGCCGCTGCATCTTTACACTCGGACAGTTACGACTGACTGTTACGACGACTGACTGTTACGAGCTGAAGCATACAGTCATGTCGTCCGTTACTGTTGGGCCGACTCACCATTGCACACAATGCCCCTTCCCTCCTGTACAGTACAGGCCAAATCTTATCTGTGCCCGCTGCACCGTCCTTCCCCAGTCCCCATGCCCGTCTCAGTCCCCGCTGCCCGCCACGCTGCGCTCGTAGTGTACCGCGGTAGTCGTGACCCTTTCTCCCCCGGCTGCCCGCTGTGCTGTGTTCGTACCGCGGTAGTGGTGCCCCCCCCCCCCCCGCTGCCCCCCGCTGTGCCGTGCTCGTACGGCGGTAGTGGTGCGGCCGCTCCTCCCCCCCCCCCCGCCCCGCTGCCCGCCCCGCTGCGCTCGTACCGCGGTAGTGGTGCGGCCGCTCCTCCCCCCCCCGCCCCGCTGCCCGCCCCGCTGCGCTCGTACCGCGGTAGTGGTGCGCCCGCCCCTCCCCCCCGGCTGCCCCCCCCCCGCTGTGCTGTGCTCGTACCGCGGTAGTCGTGGGCTGGCAGCACGGTGAAGTGGTCGGGCAGGCTGAAGATCTCACGGTGCACCGAGTCGTACAGTGTGCCGCTGTCTCCCTCCTGGAAGTCGGTGCGGCCGCAGCCGCGGATCAGCACCGCGTCCCCGGTGAACACCAGACCGGCCGCGTGCAGCACGTACGACACACAGCCTGCCGGGCAGAGGAGCGGTACCACACGTACAGACTGCCGTGCAGGGGGGTACGACACACAGCCTGCCGTGCAGAGGAGCGGTACCACACGTCCCCGGTGAACACCAGACCGGCCGCGTGCAGCACGTACGACACACAGCCTGCCGGGCAGAGGAGCGGCACCACACGTACAGACTGACGCACAGAGGAGCGGTACCACACGTACAGACTGCCGTGCAGAGGGGTACGACGCGTACAGCCTGCCGTATAGTAAGAGGGATTACGACACGTACAGCCTGCCGTATAGTAAAAAGGGATTACGACGCACAGCCTGTCGTACAGAGGGAGTACGACACGTACAGACTGCCGTATAGTAAGAGGGATTACGACACACAGCCTGTCGTACAGAGGGAGTATGACACGTACAGACTGCCGTAGAGAGGGTTGCGACATGTACAGACTGCCATACACAGAAAGTATGACACACAACCTGCCGTACAGAGGGGTACGACACGTGCAGTCTGGCGCACAGACGGGTACGTCACATACATACAGTCTGCCGCACAGAGTACGGTACCTAAAGGGTACCAAGCAAAGGAGGTAAAGCAAGTGCGACACACCACTTGCTGTACATGCAGTAAGAAAAGTTAGCATGTACGAGTTATGACGCACGGTCGCACCGCATTTCTAATAAAAAAGTATGTGGTTACCCCGTCCCTCACCGTTGGTGTGTCTGTGGATACCCCGTCCCTCACCGTTGGTGTGTCTGTGGGTACCCCGTCCCTCACCGTTGGTGTGTCTGTGGGCACCCTCTCCGTTGGTGTGTCTGTGGATACCCCGTGTCTCACCGTAAGTGTGTCAGTGGGTACCCCGTCTCTCACCGTTGGTGTCTGTGGGTACCCTCACCGTTGGTGTGTCTGTGGGTACCCCGTCCCTCACCGTTGGTGTGTCCGTGGGTACCCCGTCCCTCACCGTTGGTGTGTCTGTGGGCACCCCGTCCCTCACCGTTGGTGTGTCTATGGGTAGGGGTACCCCGTCTCTCACCGTTGGCGTGTCTGTGGGTACCCCGTCTCTCACCGTTGGTGTGTCTGTGGGTACCCCGTCCCTCACCGTTGGTGTGTCTGTGGGTACCCCGTCTCTCACCGTTGGTGTGTCCGTGGGTACCCTCACCGTTGGTGTGTCAGTGGGTACCCCGTCCCTCACCGTTGGTGTGTCTGTGGGTACCCCGTCTCTCACCGTTGGTGTGTCTGTGGGTACCCCGTCCCTCACCGTTGGTGTGTCTGTGGGTACCCCGTCTCTCACCGTTGGTGTGTCTGTGGGTACCCCGTCTCTCACCGTTGGTGTGTCCGTGGGTACCCTCACCGTTGGTGTGTCAGTGGGTACCCCGTGTCTCACCGTTTGTGTGTCCGTGGGTACCCCGTCTCTCACCGTTGGTGTGTCTGTGGGTACCCCGTCCCTCACCGTTGGTGTGTCTGTGGGTACCCTCACCGTTGGTGTGTCTGTGGGTACCCCGTCCCTCACCGTTCGTGTGTCTGTGGGTACCCCGTCCCTCACCGTTGGTGTGTCTGTGGGTACCCCGTCTCTCACCGTTGGTGTGTCCGTGGGTACCGCGTCTCTCACCGTTGGTGTGTCTCTGGGTACCCCGTCTCTCACCGTTGGTGTGTCTGTGGGTACCCCGTCTCTCACCGTTGGTGTGTCTGTGGGTACCCCGTCTCTCACCGTTGGTGTGTCCGTGGGTACCCCGTCCCTCACCGTTGGTGTGTCCGTGGGTACCCCGTCCCTCACCGTTGGTGTGTCCGTGGGTACCCCGTCCCTCACCGTTGTTGGTGTGTCTGTGGGTACCCCGTCTCTCACCGTTGGTGTGTCTGTGGGTACCCCGTCTCTCACCGTTGGTGTGTCTGTGGGTACCGTCTCTCACCGTTGGTGTGTGGGTACACTCACCGTTGGTGTGTCTGTGGGTACCCCGTCCCTCACCGTTGGTGTGTCTGTGTCAGTGGGTACCCCGTCCCTCACCGTTGGTGTGTCAGTGGGTACCCCGTCTCTCACCGTTGGTGTGTCCGTGGGTACCCCGTCTCTCACCATTGGTGTGCCCCGGCGTGGCGCGCGTCTCCAGCTGCAGGCCGCCCACGGTGACGATGTCGCCGGCACTCAGCCGGACGTCAGCGCGCGCCCCGGACGCCGCCGCTATGACGCTCCGGCACGACGGCACGTGCTGCTTCAGCAGGCCCGAGCCGGTCACGTGGTCGGCGTGCATGTGCGTGTTCACTGCCGGGAGGTGGAGGTGGACGGAGAGAGCTGAACAGTCTGGGACGCTCTCATTGACAGCATACCACGGTCACAGCCAATAGACACAACAACACCTGGAGGCAAAACCAAACGCACACCACAGATGGAAAACGAGATAGTGGGGCACTAACTATCCGTAGTTGCTGCTGGTAACCAGTAAAGGAGTATGAAAAAAGACATGAGAAATTTAGAACAGGGGCGTCGCCACGGATTTTTTAGTTTGGGGAGGGGTCGGGTTTCAGGTCTTCGCCCTGTTCGGATTGGTTCCAATTTTTTCGTGTGTAAAGAAAGCCTCGGCGCACAGCGCAAAAAAAGTACATCTTATTATACATCACTGCATTGTGTGTAAAAATTTTGACTTCAGGTCACCTATAAGCTATAAGATTTTCACACCGACGTCTCACACCGACGTAAGGAGACGCTTCTTCAATGTGAGATGCATGGCTGCGTGGAATGCTTTGCCAGTGTTTGTGACCGCACCTAACTTACCTGAATTCAAGAAATTACTGGAGAAGGCGCTGGGCGAGGCTCTCTACGAATTCACTGATTGACGGTTGTATTTACAGTTTTCTAGGCATACGCGCGTTGCGGAGTCGATAATACGTTCGCAGTCGATAATATGTTCGTGTTCATTGAAGACTGCAAATTTCAGCCGCAATGCATTGTACTTATCATGTGAGCTGTGTTTCTATCTGGGCTGGCGGGTCTTTTAATCAGGGTTCCTAAATATCCTTCTCGATTTCCTAACCACGTTTTGGGCTCAGAACATAAACGGAAGTTAACCTGAGGTCAGGTCAGGTCACCAATGCTATGTCAAATTATGTAGCCTCTAAAAATGTGATTTTGTCAATCCTTCAGCTTATTCCCCTAACAGGGACTCGAATTTCCACTGCGGGGGGGGGGGGGAGAGATCGGTCTGGCCAATGGCCATAGACCATTTTGTTGGTGCTTAGCGGCCCTGGGGCCTGAAATGTTGACCTGAGGTCATATTGGCCACTTAGACCCATTATGCATGTAAAGAAACCATCGCTTGTTGTTATGCGCGTTTGCGCTCCTCTGACTCGTCAGGTAATGCAAGCAGCTTTAGTCGCATATTTTCGGACTCTGGGTATAACTGACAAAATTACCGGCCATTGACGAACTCATAATGGTCCGATCATCGACTTCATCACACAACAGGCGCGGATACAAGGGGGGGGGGCCATGGGGGCCATGCCCCCCCCCCTTGGCCGATTTTTTTCAAAAATAAAATAAAAAGTTAAAAAGTTAAAAAGCTGAAAAGGGGGCCTCCTGAAAATAAAGTGGCCGAAATCCGATGAGTTTTTTTTTAACCTACCCACTTAGTTATTTCTTAGAAGACTAGCTGAGAAGACTTCTTTGTTAGAAGATTGGTAAAGCTTTTCATAACTTGGAGGTCTCTTATACTCACAGAGATGACCACTTTTACAGGGCCTCCTAACCTGCACAGAGGGCCTCCAAGCCTGCACAGATGTTGAGATGTTGCCTGAACAGCTAGATAAGCTCAATAGACGCAGTTTTTTTTTTGGGGGGGGGGGGCCCAACAAGTGGGAAGATGGGGCCTCCAACAGGTGGGATTATGGGGGGGGGCCTCCTGGTTTCTAATGGCCCCTCCCTTGGAGATTTTCTGGATCCGCCCCTGTCACACAATCACACAATTAGTAGCTTCAGTGGGTTTCAGTGTTGGTAAGCACTTCACGAACGAGCGAGCAGGCTTGAGGCGAGCGAGCTTCAGGCGTAAACGGGCAACGGGATTGGTAACTACCGCCACGATTAGAGTGCTACAGCATGCATATGTATGCGATTGGAGGGTACCAGAGAGCGCCCTCCAACCGCATGTGCCCTGTCAATACATTTGCGATTGGAGGGCGCCCTCGGCGTCCAAGGGAAGGAGCATGGCCAAGTGCCCCCCCCCCCCCCCTGACATTGGTAAGGACCCGTTTATTACTAGCTGACCTGCATATTTCAGTGTGAGCCCCAGGTCGCTGACCACCTGCAGGTCCCGGGTGACCTGGTCGATGACCGGATCGATCAGAGCCGCTTCTCCAGTGCTCCGGTCTCCCACCAGATAGGTATAGGTGTACGTGTCACCATCAAACAACTGCCGCACATGGGGAGGCAGGCATCAAAAGGTCAGACCACAGGTCCATATAGGAGCGTCTATCTCTTTCAAATTGGTGCATGGGGTTTAGTCAATCTGATCAGCCATGCCTTTTAATGAGTATTTCATCGCTACCTTTTTTAACACGCGCCGTGCTGGGGGGGGGGAAGGGGTTACACCCGCCCCCCCCAGGTTTTTTGCATATATCTCAAAAACGGCGGCGCTTTCCGCACATATTGTGAAAATTTCAGACCAGGGTCGTTCAAGGTCAGGTCACCAGGTCGCGTCAAGTGACCTTACGTCAGAAAAAGTTCAAAGGCTCGATAGTCGATATAGCCACACCGACTGAACGATCACTTTGAAACTTTCAGCGATTGATATGAGTAACAGCATGTATATGTATGTATATGCATTATGCATGCCCCTGAGATCATCTCAGGTCATGAACGGTCGCCAGCAGTTTTTTTGGCTATAACTTTTGATAGAGACGTGCTAGAGCGGTGAAACACGTCAGATGTGTTCAGCTCGACGATACGGATCGACTGATATGCATCATAACCCTTTGCGGTTAGGTCATGACCTTGACCTATGGTCAAATTTTCAAAATGACATTTCAAGGTCAACAAATAGTTCATTCGACGCGCCTTCACGAGAGGAACACGACGCTGCCAAAAGAAATGTCGTGGCTTTCTTGAGTCAAAAGTTATTGCCGAAAAATGTTTCGTGAAAATGCATCTTTTTACAGTTTTTGCCCTCTGGAGGCTAAACCGTTGACCTGACGTCAAATCTGAAAACATTACTCAGAAAGATCTGTAAAAGGGCTATCGAATGCGCTTTTCCGCGGCGCTGTAGCTGAATTGGTTCCCGAGGCGGTGTGGTGTGGTGGTGTTTTAGGGCGCACCAGTAAGTAGACATGCAGGCAGTAGGTAGGTGTCCCACCTGTCTGAACACCAGGTTCGTGCCAGGAGCAGTTACAGTTGAGTGCAGCCTGCTGGGGCATGTAGACGGAACAGAACCACACTGCAGAGTCTGCCTGGAGACCAGACTTCCAGCTATCTGTCCCCACTGGGGCAGCACTCTTCTCATTGCCAGCATCCTCACTACCTGCACAGAAAAAAGGCAGGATCAATACAAAAGAAACTCACATCACCACCTCAGCTGCAACAGTAAATACCTAATTCTAGGATGACCTTCCTTCAGGGTTCTGATTTTGATCTCATTGGGCTTGTGGCTTTCCTTATCACATGGCTTCATTTGTGGCTTAGCTTACAAGCCATACTGATATACTGTGGAGCAGGAGGTGGACATTAGGTACAAGTAAGACAAGCCAATAGAATGAAGTAGCCACTAGCCTGCACACAAGTAACCTTCCACGCTCGCGGCTCGAGACTGGCAAGCGACGATTCGGCTACCGGGCCGCGGCGCTACTCAACAGTCTGCCTCCCGGTGTCATCGAACAGCGCCCCGACCAATTCGCCAGCGCGGCCAAGGCTGCAGTCTGTGCTGCGATGGCGACCGCCCGACGATGACCCGTGTCAGGGGAAGGAGGTGCGACATCCGTATGTGGTGTGCTGTCTTGAATCGTCCGTTTGTATATAGAGAGAGCGAATGTCCAGCGATTGAATCTGTATGCCTGTGTTTCTTGTCCCCGCATGTTTTTGTTTGTGCCCGATTCAGACTCTGGACTGTAATCGCCACACCCCGCGTGGATTGTCCATGAAGGTACCTAATACAATACAATACAATACAACCATCAAAACAGAAAAAAAAACTTGAGCGCAAAAGCTCCTCTAACCTCAGCCTTTTTCCTCAGATACCTTTTTCAAAACTTTCAACTTGCCTTCAACTTGCTTTCCAAAAGGTGTCCAAAAGGTTGCTTTCAACCAAGGGCCCAAATCTTTCAACCAACGCAAGGGCTTTGGTAAAAACTGGATTGCGTCAGCTGGCTGGCCAGCTGGCGACGCACGAAAGGTATTTGATTTTAGATATAAGCGCGGTAGTAGGATGGACATAAATATTTCAAATGGCTTTAAATGAAAAATTGATTGGTAAATATTTATTCTTTTATATCTAGCATTGATATGTAAGAAGCTCTGCTAGCGCCACCATACGGCGCCAGCTGGCAAAAAATCCAGTTAATACCAGAGCCCCAACGCAACCAACTTACCTTCTTTCAGAAGACCAACGTTGTTTCAGAAGACACTAAACCACTGCCAAATACTGTTATCGCCGGGTATGCAGTGACTGGCTCCACAACAGGGAGATAAAGGTTATGGAATACGAATCGAATTGCAATGAATGCTAATTTGCAAAGGCAACGTTTAAGCTCACTCCTCCGATCAAGCATGTATAACCAGCTTCCACCTAGTGTTCAAACGTATACGTATTGCATGATGCAACGAACTGCTTTGCCAGCAGACGTCGAAATCTGCCTTGCACTGTAAGCATTTTTCCAAGATGGTCGATTGAAAAACTGAAAATCATATAAGTTCGATCATATAAGTGACGTCATGAGAGAACTGCGATGGCTCTCAGCTGAGAATGTCGCCGACAAACTGTCGTTCGGAGTTCTTTTCTGGTTGGATGTGGACTGTATTTTATTCGGTGAGTTTGTGCGACATTCGTAGCCCGCCCGCCTGCTATGTGAGCTCCTGGGTTTTTGATATTCGGCGATTTACAGTTGTAGATAGACGTGAAGATTTCCCGTAGAGGATTTATTGAAGTATACGCGAAGCAAGAAGCGGAAGCAGTTGTGAAGAAAACCGGTAGATGAAACACGCAGACACGGAGCACAATTCACTTTCGCTGTACAATCTGAAGCACTGACACTGCCCCGCCGGGCGCGGCTGCGCGCAGGAGAGTCGGTCTGCGCGCGTGCTTCTGTACTCTGTCCCCGCTCAGCCGGGCGAGGCGTCGAGCGGGGCAGATCAGTCCGTGCGCACAGCGCGACGGTCGAAGTGAGACTCTGCCGGGGTCGTACGTGACCCCTATTTTATACGCAATGCTTAAGACGTGTGCAAAACGAGTGCGAACTTGCACTGCAGCGGGGAGGTGGCGGAAGGCGCCAGCTTGGCGGCCTACGTGCCTTAAAACGACGTGTCTTTAATTTATATCTCGGTCTCGGTGGCGGCCGCGGCGCTGCTGCGGCTCGGCAGCGTCGGCGGCACGCGTACCGACCGCCGGCCGCGTCTGCTCGCGGCCCCGCCCTGCACAATGCCTCACAACTCATCCCGAGTCTGGACGGGGTGACGGCGGTGCGGCGGCGGGACGGCTGCAGCGAGCGGCGGCGGCGCCGCGGTGGCACGGCGGCCGGCCGGCTATCACGGCGGCACAGCGGTAGCGCGGGTTGGTCCGAACACTTTCGTCGGTGACATCACTCCACCCCCGTGTTTGACCACAGGGAGAACACAAAATGACACGATCACCGACAAAGATGTACAAACAAGTACGATTTACACGCCTAAATCGAATAAACTACAAAGCACAAACGGCCACAAGCGCGAGTTATGAATTTCAGGTTCAGAAGACAAACGCGAAGCACAGACGGCTATATGCGTGAGTTACGAAGCTCAAATTCACAAAGCAAAACAAGAATGAAGAGTGAGTGCGTCGGTAAGCACGCGCACGCAAAATACTCTTCCTTACTTTAACCCTCGCACGACCAGGCCATTTCTCATAACACGAACGACCAGGGGGGGGGTTGTTACGACCCCCCCCCTGGCGTTTCGAAACGGAAGGTCGTAGAGCTTAGCGGAAAAGACCAACGGATTGCTTTCAACGAGATCTCGCGATTGGTGGTATATTTTTTGGTCCTAGGTCAACATTTGACCTACTTTTGACCGGTCAAAGGTCAAATTTTCGGAAAAATAGACTTTTTTCAACTTTCGGCGGCGATTGCGGCAAAACGGTGGGAGATATCGACTTGAAACCTTCACTATCGTGTTCCTTGATCAATTCTCTATCGTTTGGTATGTATTTCGTTTCCCTAGCTCTAAAAATGGCGCGTTGGGAGCGCCAGAAGTCGGCAAGGTCACAGTCGGCGGCAGAAATTCGAAAAATCAAAATTTAAATTTTTGAAATCTGATTGTATTTTTGGATTTGGGAGGTCCATTTGCTCCCTGTAGAAGCTAATATTGCTGCATATTCCCATTGAGGTGACAAGAATTAGCAAAATAGTGGTTCGGGCGCTTTTCAAAAATAGTACCGGACGCTGTTCCTCTTGTGACGTCATAGCTCCGTGACCTGACCTGACCCGGTCAAATTTCTTATACCATATGATAGCCAATACTTGCCCCAACATGCATGGGAAGTTTCATCACGATCCATCAACCGATGTCCGTACCACCGGCAGGAAACCTCGGGCGTTGGCACTCAGTTTGTGAAAATCCGGCCGGAGGCTGTACCTCTTATGACGTCATAACTCCGTGACCTGACATGACCCGATCAATTTTTTTTCGGCAAAAGATGCGCAAAGGTTGCCCCATAAGGTACCCAAAATTTGGCGGCGCTGCGCGCCGCCGTTTTTGCACTATTTCCGAAAAACCTCAGGGGGGGGGTTGATACAACCCCCCCCCTAGGCGTTCTAGGGTTAACTGGTTCGGGGGCGTGGGCTCGACAGTCCACAGCCAGCCAGCATCATTTCTTGTTTCGTTCTGTCGGCTAATGAGATGGCTGAGGGGGCGACGGGGCAAGTTCCAGAAGCGCCACCTTCGTGGCAGGCCGGGTATACGTACCACCTGCTGCCGTCTTGAGCTGTACGGCGCGGACTCGGCCGTCAGGCCCCGGGAACACTTGCAGCACGCGCGCCAGCGGCCAGTGACCTCGGGGCGTGTCAGATTCTGCTAGCAGCACCACGTCGCCGACTGCTAGGTTCCGTTGGTCAGCTTGCCATTTTCTCCTGTGGATCAGGGTATGGAGGTACTCCCTTTTCCATCTTCGCCAGAGATGGTCCGTCAGTGCTTGAACGTACCTCCATCTTTTTTTGGAGTGCAGATCCTGGCTGCTGAAGACTCCAGGGGGAAGACAACGGCTTCCCCTCCCCAGGAGATAATGGTTCGGTGTGAGAGCTGTCAGGTCTCTCACATCGTCTGTGACGTGTGTCAGCGGTCTACTGTTGATCATGCTCTCTATTTCGCAGAAGATAGTTGACAGCACCTCGTCTGTTGTCACCTCGCCGCCGAGCACGACCGATAGCGCTCTCTTGACTGCGCCGATCATTCTTTCCCATATGCCGCCCATGTGGCTCGCGGCTGGTGGGTTGAAACACCATTCGATCTGCTGCTGGCTCAGCTCGTCAGAGATCTTTTGCTGGTTCCACTGTGTTAGTGCCTCTCGGAGTTCACGTTCACCGCTTTTCAGGTTTGTTCCGTTGTCGGAGAAAACCTTCTTTGGACGACCTCGGCGTGCCACGAACCGTCGGAAGGCCATCAGGAAGCTGTCAGTATCCAGGCTGTTGGACACTTCCAGATGAATGGCTCGCGTGGCCAGACACGTCACCAGCAGGCCGTACCTTTTTTCAGTCTTTCGGAACCGCCTGACTGTGAGCGGTCCGAAATAGTCGATCCCCACGAAGCTGAACGGATGGGAGGCGTTAAACCGGTCAGCGGGAAGATCGGCCATTCTTGGAGGCTGAGGTCTCGCCCTTCTCTTGCGACAGATGGCGCAGTCGATAAGGACTCGTTTTACCTGCGAACGACCCCTCGGAATCCAGAATTTCTGGCGAACTTCGTTCAGGGTGTGTTCTGCGCCGGCGTGCATGAGCTGACGGTGCGTTTCGTAGATGACCATTCTCGCCACATCAGAACCTGCTGGGAGTAGAATGGGATGGCGAGCGTCTTCGTCCAGTGGGGCATTCTCTAGTCGCCCCCCGACTCGTAAGATGCCATCAGCGTCCAGAATTGGTGACAGATCGGCGATGCCGCTCTTCTTGTTGAGCTGCTGACCCGCCTGTAACTGCTGCAGCTCGGTCCTGTAGGCCTCCGCCTGCACCATCTGGAGGATGGTCTTCTCCGCGTCATGGAGCTCTGACACGGTCAGTGGGCCTAGGTTTCGCTGTCGCTTCTGCTCGCCTTTCAGCTTCGAGTTGCGGAGGAAGCGCAGGATCCAGGCCACCGTGCGCTTGTATTTTGTCCAAGACGAGAATTTGCTCGATGTCGGCAGTGCTGTCTTTGGATCCCTCACCGTGACTGTGGCGAAGGCTCCAACTTTCACTTCTACGTCTTCTTCAGCCAGCTTCTGAACGTGAAGCTGCTCTGGCCACCCTTCTTCGTCGCCTCGGAGGAAGTCTGGGCCGGATAGCCAGAGAGGGTTGCCGGCGAGCTCCTTCACTGTCTCACCCCTGGAGCACAGATCGGCTGGGTTGAGTCGTCCTGGGCAGTGCCGCCACTGACCTTTATCTGACAGGTCGTGGATTTCTGCCACTCTGTTTGAGACGAATGTATGGAATCGTCTGCTCTCGTTGCTGATGTACTGCAGGACGACCCGGCTGTCGCTCCAGTAGGTGACCTTCTTGACTTGATTTGGTATCTCCTTTTGGAGCGCGTCCACCAAGCGCACTGCGAGCACTGCTGCCTGCAGCTCCAGTCTGACGATCGACAGTCTCTTCAGCGGTGCAACTCGTGTCTTGCTCATGATGAACGAGCAGTGATGCGTGCTGTCTGGTGAGGTCGTACGGAGATAAGCGACTGCTCCGAACGCTCCCTCTGATGCGTCGCAGAAGACATGAAGCTCACGCGTTATTGTGTCACTTGATGTTGGACGGAGGCAGCGTGGGACACTGATGTTTCTCAGTGCTGGCAGTTCTTGGAGCCATTCTTCCCATTCTTTCTGCTCCTCACGATCCAGCTCGTCGTCCCAGTCCAGTTGCTTGGTCCAGAGCTGCTGCATGAACATTTTGGCTCTGATGACGAAGGGCGCGGCGATCCCCAGAGGATCGAAGATCGACGCAGTCCTTTGGAGGACTCCCCGCTTTGTCATCGGGACGCTTGAGTCTCGGAATCTGAAGCTCAGACTGTCCTTTTCAGCATCCCAGACCACTCCCAAGGCACCTTGTGTGGGCAGCTCCGCTTCTGTGAGGTCTAGTTCCGGCTGGGCGCGCTTCTCTCGGGGAATGCTCTCCAGGACGCGCCGCGAGTTGCTTACCCACTTGGATAGATGGAAGCCGCCTCGGGAGAGTGTCTCTGTCACCTGCTTCGTCGTCTTCAACGCATCATCTTCATGTTCTTCTGATCGTAAGAAGTCGTCCATGTAGAAACTGTTCTTCACAGTTTCCACGGCCTTCTTTGGCAGCCCGCAGTCTTCTCCATGGTCCGCGACTGTTCTTTGGAGGACGTAGTTGGCAGACGCTGGAGACGATTTGGCGCCGAAGATGGTCACCTGCATCTCGTAGATGTCTGGTTCTCTACTTTGATCCAGGTCGCGCCACAGGAAGCTGAGTGCCGGTCGGTCCTTCTCGATGACACGGACCTGGTGGTACATTTCTTGGATGTCTGCCACCATGCCGACTTTTTCTTCTCGGAAACGGAGCAGGACGCCGGTGAGGTTCTTCAGCAGGTCTGGTCCGGTCAGGAGCTTGTCATTCAGCGATGTTCCGTACGATCTGGCTGCCGCATCGAAGACTATCCTGAAGCGGCCTGGCTTATTGGGATTAGTCACGGCATGGTGTGGTAGGAACCAGCGTCTGGGTAGCCGGAGCTGTGCCTCCTCCCTGGACAGCTTTCTGGCGTGGCCCTTTTTTACATATGCATCGATCGTGGCCTGGTAAGCTGCTGCTTTCTCTTGATCGTTTACCAGACGCCTCTCGGTGCCATGTAGTCTCTTTGTAGCCATCACCTTGCTGTCTGGAAACGGCGTGTCGTCATCAGTCTTCCAGAGGAGGCCAGTCTCGTAGCGGTTGCCGGTTAACTTGGTGGTTGTTGACTCTAGAAGCTCTTGCGCTCGACGGTCTTCTTTCGACTGTGACACTGACCTTTCATACTTGGCTCCGAAGGATTCAGTTGTCCACCAGTCCTTCAGCATGTTGTCCAGTTCCTCGTCAGCAGCGGAGCCTTTCTGGATGAACATCGCTCTTCTAGTTCGTCCATGTTTTCCAGGGTGCAGGTCGGACACAGCGCCAGTCAGGGTCCAACCAAAAGCAGTACATACAGCTATCGGTTGGCCTGGTTGACCCACCCGGACCTCTTGCTGGATGACTGCTTCGCTGACGTTAGCTCCGAGCAACAGTTCCACCTGTCCATGGGAGCACTGAGGAATGTCCAAGTCCTTGATGTGACGCCACTTCTCCCGCTGCTTCTTGCAGACGTTCGGCATGGAGATGTCGAGAGATGGAACAGACCACGCCTCAGGCACGATGATTCTTCGAGTTTCCTTAGGGGCCACAGAGCTCAGCTCTAGCTTCACTCTAGTTGATGCTTGAGGTTTTCCAGTTCCTTCCACTGTCTGAAGACACAGCTGTTCGTCTTGTCCTGTGATTCCCAGTTGGTTCAGCACAGCTTCACTGCAGAAGGAAGATTCTGACCCTGAATCGAGAAGAGCATAGGTGTCACGGTGAGTTCCTGCCTTCTTTCCATGAATTCGAACTGGAACGATTTGTAGAAGAGTTCCGCCTGTCTTTCCGATGGAGGTAGATGCAGCCACTACATGTACCTCTTCTCCTTCTGCCGTTGGACTTCTTTCATTGGCAGGCCGACTGGCTGCGGCTCCCGTGCGGTCGGTGGGAGGAGCGGTTCGTTTGGTGCTGCCATGTATCAGCTGATTATGGCGTCTCTGGCACCCATTTACACCACAGGGCCTGGTGTTGTGACATTCTCTGGCGAGATGTCCCCTTTGCAGACACCAGAGGCAGAGTCTCTTGTCGAATATCAGTTCGACTCTTTTTTCGACGTCCAGATTCTTGAACTCACGGCACTGGTGCAGTCTGTGTTCGCCACCGCACTTCGGACATGACGCATTCCCACCTGGTTTCTGTGCCGTTGATGGAGAGGCTGGTGACGAAGTTGCGGTAGCATGCGCTGCTCGCTTGGTCGTCTGGTCTCTGGTTCTCCCCCGCCTGTCACTCGGCGTTTCAGCGGTTTGGCAGAGCGATGCAATTTGGACCTGCTTCAGCAGCCAAACGTCCAGGTCGATGAGTGATGGATGTCTTGGGTAGAGTTCGAGCACATGTTTACCCCATTCACGCCGTAGATATTCTGGAAGTTTGACCACCGTTCTTCGGAGATTCTCTGTGCTGTACAGGTCCGCCTCATATCCTTGGGCCTGCATGAGCGTGACCGCGCAGTGCAGGGCGGAATGGAAGAACTCCAACGATCGAACACTGTTCTGAGGAGGTTCAGCCGAGAACACTTTCTCGAGATGTACCTTAATCACATCCGTGCTTCGGCCGAAACGATCTTGTAGAGTTTTGAGGGCTTGTTGGTAGAGGTTGCCGTCAAATAACATGCCAGCGATGGCTTCTTGCGCTTGTCCCATCACTGACGCTTGCAGATGAGCCATTCTTTCCGCGTCGCTGAGCGATGGCTGGTCGTGCACGAGCGCTCGGAACAGTCCGATCCAGCGCGGCCACTCAGACGGCTTTCCTGAGAAGGTCGGCAGCTGGAGGCGGGGGATGCTCTTAGTGAACGCGGATGTCGTAGGAGCCGGACGTGGTACAGCTGTCGGTCGCAGCTGATCTATCCATGACGTCTGGCTTGTGGACATACCGGGACTGGGCGCCACGGCCGGAGGTTCTAGTTGCAGAGGTTCTTCTCTGATTTCGGTTAGAGGTTCTCTGGGCGTAATGGAGACTGGCTCGGTGAAACGAAGTTGTGATCTGGAGCAGTTCGGCCTTTGATAAACGCTTTTCTCGGTGATTGGTTCTCCCAGATTTTCATCCACAAAATCGTCTCGCCTGTCTGCATTGAGCTCGTCTTCCATTTCTTCCCTCAGGTCCGCCTCCAGTCGGGCAGCTTCAGCTTCATCTCTGGCTTTCTGAAGGTCTCTCTCGAATTGCAGTTCTTCCTCTTGCTTCCTTAGTGTCCTTTCTCGCTCCAGCTGGCGCACGCGCAATTCCTTCAGTTTGGATGATATCCTGGCTTCAGCTGATGCATGAGAGGCCGCCGAGCTGCCACTGACCTGTGACCTTGCTCGGCGAGCGACGCTACGGGTCATGCGTGACACTGAGCGTCCCAAGCCGTCTTCAGGTTGCCCTCCTCCATCCTCGCTGAAGTCAGTCTGTCTCGTAGAGGTCAGCTGTAGTTCGTCTGTGGTGCTTGTCATGAAAGTCTCGATTTTCTCCTCGATTCTCTCTTTCTCCGTACGAACTTCGCTTAAGTACTGAACCTCATTTTCTTTTTCTTCCTCACTCTGCGTGTATCCAGAGATACATTCGTGAACGGCCATCAACGCTTGGAAAGCGCTGTCCATTTCTCTGCGGATATTTCCAAACTGGACGCGTGAGGCTCTATCTGTCACGAGAGCTTCAGCGCGCCGGAAAATCCTTGTGAGAGCCGCCCGATGACGACCTCTCACCTGTCTGAGGTGCCGCCACTCCCCGTTGGAGCATTGGCCTTCTCGTGGTTCTTCTCGGGCTGTAGTCACTGCAGCTTGTCCTTGACCTGCAGCGGCTGGTTCAGCTGGTACTTCTTCCATGTCAGCGGTTTCTTCTTTGTCACTTTGCCCCATTCGCTCTAGAGACGGGCTTGCTTCTCCACTTGCCATAGTTCAGGATCCGGCCCGGAGGACCAGCAAATGTCGCCGACAAACTGTCGTTCGGAGTTCTTTTCTGGTTGGATGTGGACTGTATTTTATTCGGTGAGTTTGTGCGACATTCGTAGCCCGCCCGCCTGCTATGTGAGCTCCTGGGTTTTTGATATTCGGCGATTTACAGTTGTAGATAGACGTGAAGATTTCCCGTAGAGGATTTATTGAAGTATACGCGAAGCAAGAAGCGGAAGCAGTTGTGAAGAAAACCGGTAGATGAAACACGCAGACACGGAGCACAATTCACTTTCGCTGTACAATCTGAAGCACTGACACTGCCCCGCCGGGCGCGGCTGCGCGCAGGAGAGTCGGTCTGCGCGCGTGCTTCTGTACTCTGTCCCCGCTCAGCCGGGCGAGGCGTCGAGCGGGGCAGATCAGTCCGTGCGCACAGCGCGACGGTCGAAGTGAGACTCTGCCGGGGTCGTACGTGACCCCTATTTTATACGCAATGCTTAAGACGTGTGCAAAACGAGTGCGAACTTGCACTGCAGCGGGGAGGTGGCGGAAGGCGCCAGCTTGGCGGCCTACGTGCCTTAAAACGACGTGTCTTTAATTTATATCTCGGTCTCGGTGGCGGCCGCGGCGCTGCTGCGGCTCGGCAGCGTCGGCGGCACGCGTACCGACCGCCGGCCGCGTCTGCTCGCGGCCCCGCCCTGCACAATGCCTCACAACTCATCCCGAGTCTGGACGGGGTGACGGCGGTGCGGCGGCGGGACGGCTGCAGCGAGCGGCGGCGGCGCCGCGGTGGCACGGCGGCCGGCCGGCTATCACGGCGGCACAGCGGTAGCGCGGGTTGGTCCGAACACTTTCGTCGGTGACAGAGAACTTGTGGCGATTTCAATCAGTCATGCTGCTGAAGAAGATGCTCGCCACGGGACAGCCCGAGGTTCTGCGTGCTAGTATAGCGTGTCGAGGGAGCGTGCATGGCCGCGGCACTCGACAGGCCGATCATCTGGACACGCCTATGATCCGAACGGAGGCCGGCCGCCGTCGATTTCTGTATAGCGCTGTGACCATGTATAACAGCCTCCCAGCAGCACTCCGCGAGCTAGGCCTGCACAGATTTAAGAAGGAGTACCGGGCGATGCTGCTGAGGGAACAGTATGGCGATGACTAGTTCTCCCTGTTTAAGAAGAACACTGCATGATGAGGTATATTTTTACACGCTGTATGGTCGTATATTGTTTGTCCGTCCTGAATGATGTGCATACGATTCCCAATTCCGTGATTATTGGACACGACTGCCAAGAACAGCCATTGTATGATGGAAAGGACAGTCACGATGTGAAATAAATAAATAAATAAATAAAAAATGATTTTTTTTAAAGCACCTCTAGACCAAGGCTATATAAGCTCTAGACTCAATTTAAAGTTTTATTGCGGTAAAATATGACTATGCAGCTACCACCTACTGTCCACAACATGGAAAAAGATTCAGAACCTCAGAGCTGGAATGGTTACCCAGCAAGCGGCTAATAATAATATGCAACTTATATTTCTAAATGAACTTCCAATTTAGTGAATAACTGTTGTCAACATTATCAGTGATATACGATAAGGAAAACAAACGCTAAAGTAAGCGTTTGTTTAGAAAATATTGCTTTCTTCCTATTTTTGCAGCAGTTTAAGGACCCCTCCGCCGAAGATCGTCGCAGCTGCGCAATATATGACGTGGGAATAATTTTTAGTTTGTGTTCGGACTTCGAAGGGCGTGGACGGTGTTCCGTACGCTGGCGCTTGTGGTTGTGTTTTCAATTTGATAGGTAATTAAGGTGTCTTTCGATTAAGTTTCATAAAAAATATCACATTTTGTTTATTTCGAATGAGCGGTATAATTTTTATTAATTGAGTGCTTCAGTGTAAGGCACAGAAGGGCTCACTACTCGACTTACAAAAATTTGAAGTGAAATTTGAGACGGTTGCTCTGTGCTGTGTGCAAGTGCTACTTTTCTCAAGCTACCCACATTTCAACTTTGAAATAAGCTGAAAACTCGTGGAAGAAGACTCAGTGAATCCTGATCGTATTTTCAGGTGCCAGTGTAGGTGCAATCAGGCAATGGCCCCTAAATCCTAATCATTTTACCTGCTAGAAAAATGAAAGGTGTTAAGTGTTACTGATGTGAAATCCAGCTGCTGAAGTTATACTCTTATTCTCAGCACTTACGTCTTAAAGGGCATTTTTGAGAAAGCCTTGGGAGATTGAGACGTCAGTCAAACTGTTCAAGTATGGCCTGGGGAACTGAACTTTGGGTAAGCATATGTTGATATGGATGAAAATTGTCCTACAGTTATTGTTTGATATGTTGCTTATTAATTTTTAACAGAAAATTATCTAATATGCATCACATTTTCACAGGGATATTGCATTTTCTGTCATTAGCTTCTATGCCAAGTGTAAGCTTGTCATAAAATGGACAATATATGTTTTACTTGTTGCCAGAAATATGTATAGGTTGAGTTCCACTTATTTTCTTTGGCATTGATTCTATTGTGTTCAGCTGTGAACTATGTGTATGCATTTGTTATAACCATTGCCATCTTTTTCCAGGACCAGTTTGACAATGTTTCCAGTCACACCCTAAAGGGATTGGAGTTCCTGGAAAAATATGGAAGATTCCAGAAGGACCGCTGTGATGTGGAAAACCGATATGCTGCTGATCTCAGGTAATACTTTTTTGTAATCAGGAGGGGTGTTCATGGGCACTGCAAACCGCTGAGTGCGGTGTGTGCAGCAGGCGTGAGGGTAGGGGATGTGTAGGCGGTTCTGACGTCACGGCTGCGTGCGGTTGACGGTCCTCTGTGGCCGGTCCCAACCGACCATAGCATAGCGGTCGCTGTGTGCGGTGACGGAAGGATGACGTGGGCGGAGCTTACAGCTTGTGTACGGTCTGACCGCACACAGGGCCCGTGAACAGCCCTAGGGCTCACATGTGCCTAAGCTCAAACTCCTAATTTCTCTGTCTGCCAGGAAAGACATGCCTGTTGTCATCTGTTGTCACTGACAATCCTGGAGACTTACATACACCACTGTTAAACTGGAGGCTGGGAGGAACTCACCTGTGCTCACCCAATCTGACAGAGATCGGGGCTGGTAGCATTAAAACCGAGACCGAGTCAGCTCCGCTGCTGGTGTACCTGCGCTGAAACCGTGCACCACTGAAGGATTGACGGGATAGAGGCTGACTGAATCATGGATGTCTAGTTTTCTGGGCAATTCATGCCAATAGATAAAGATGTGTGGTTGGAGCTCTCTAAGTATTTGGGGAGTTCAACAGATTATTGAGGTTTTACGTCTGTGATGCTTGCATCGCATGGATAGCTAGCATTTATCGGTAATCGAGATTAGTGCGGGAACCTGGAAGTCGACATTTCCCACGGTAGTGACCAAGACATTTCCACTCCCAGCCAGTTATATCGCACAGACGGTGCTGCCGTATTCGATTTCGGAGTGTCGGCGCTATCGTGTTCACATCGAGCTCCTTGCACATAGCCTCGTTTTTAAACGTGGCTTCGTGACAAGTTGCGCTCGAGTGTTCAATTCCCATTTCCCACAAACTGCTCGTACTGTAGCTTTCCAGCTTTTCCGCATCATTCGGCTACAAACGTCGCCTCGTTTTGCAAAGGTTAAAATGCTTGGACTCTGTTTAGTGCCTTATCGAAGTGCAGTTCTGCCTGCGTGGCTTTGAAACTCTGCTGCTATTATAGTGCACCTTTCACTGTTACTATGAATCAACTCAGGTATCGAACGATGCACTAGGTATCATCGGTGTCACTCAGGGCACTGAGTTGTGGACATACTATACTATACTATACATACTATACGTTACGTTAGGATGGAGATGCGTTAGGTCACCTCGGTATCATTTACTTATCATCTCGTAAGGCACTGGTATGTAAAACCATTGTCAGTGGAGGACGGAGACGCTTGTTTCACGACTGGTGTCAGATTGCGGCGAGGAGCCGTCGCCGGAACATCTGCGGCCGAGACGACCCGCAGCCAGCCGCCTATCTCTCCACGCGGCACGCTGGTGTGGTCGAGTCGACAGCCGCCTGTCTCTCCACGCGGCACGCTGGTGTGGTCGAGTCAACAGCCGCCTACTGTGTCCGGTAACAGTACACACTATTCTAGTACACACTGCACTGGCCGACGGCTGTGTGCTGGATCCGGATACTACAATGGCTGGTGGGCCTATAGTGTGTCCGGTAACATTGCACACTATTCTGGCCTACGGCAGTGTGCTGGATCCGGACACTCCACTGACTGGTGGGCCTACACTGTTTCCGGTAACAGTACACACTCCACTGGCAGACGGCTGACGTGTGCTGGATCCGGATACTACACTGGCTGGTGGGCCTGTGCTGGATCCGGTAACAGTACACACTCTTCTAGCTGGTGGGCCTAGAGTAGACTGTGTCCGGTAACATTGCACACTTTTCTGGCCGACGGCAGGATTGTAAGTCGGAAGCCATCCCGCTGGCCGACGGCCTTGTGAGGTGCTGTTGCGGGCTGCAGAGGTAACTGCCTTCGCGGGCGTGACTCGTGGGCTGTTGATTTATTTAACTGCTCTGGAATCTGGGCCGCCAACTGCGGTGCCCTTGTTCACTCACTCCGGTATGGGAGCGTGCGCCTGGCTCAGGGCGCGTGTACACTTTCCTGCATAACTAGCGGGCTGCGGCGCTTCTGCCGCTTAAGGCCGGGCTGCGGCTGCAGCTGAACCAGAGTGGCTCTCAGTCTCCTCACTACAGATGGCTGTTGGGCCTGCAGAAATACGGCCGGGACTCGGTAAGGTGTTCAGTGGTATGTTTAGAGGCAGGATCTGTGATTAGGCATAATGAATTCCGTGTGTATTTCAGCCATAAATGATTCCATTCAGGTTTGCTGTATTCATTGCACTGCTAATTTCTACCGAGGCGCTTCAGATGGATTTGACAGATGACGCTCTCCTGTGTTTCCAAAACAAGTCCATTTCCAGTCCAGTCATCGCACCAACTACCTGCGATATTACCTCGCTGACTCACGGACGGCTGGGGTCTCCGACCCGACATGTCGCGCTCTGTGCTCTACAGCCATCCTGTGCCTATCTGTACAACCATTGGATCTGAATGGGATGCCCGTCGGGGGGGGGCGTCAAATGTTAACTATCCCTGGATTGGTGTTTTGTCAACGCCTAACAGCATAAGGGAAGGTTCCGTGATCGAGCAGGAGCTGCGGAGAAATAGAAAAGAAACGAGCGTGCTGCCCATGACGAGAGGAAGCCGGTGATACATACCCAATTAAGGTCCTAGGGCATTGGTTGACCTTCCAGGTCAGGTCAATGACCCAAAAGTCGGGGAAATCGGGACTTGATAGAATTTCGTAAAGTGGGGTTACCTAATATGTTTACGGGTTGCTGATTACTAATTTCATGTTATTTATGATCACAGATGATGTTTTCATGCTTTTAGGCCAGGTCGGGTCAGGTCAACCTAGGCGTCCTGCCGGCCATCCGTAAAAGGTGTCACCTACCAGTTACCACTGACAACTTCGTAACATGATGCGAGGGCATCAAAACTGCTTCGTAAATGTTCAAATAGGTGCTAAATTCGAAATCAGCTCCAAAAGCTACCATTGCAACATGCAAAACTCAAAATCGTGAGCTATGGTCATTGAAGGTCAGTGACCTTGACCTGATCTTCGTGTGACCTTTGCCCTCTTCATAGTCCATGGGACCGACATCATTCACATGTTTGAAGGTTACAACCACAAAAAAGAGAATACTGGAAAGCGCGGATAATGTAAGCTGACTCGCCGAATCACGATTCCGGCCAAAGATGTTCTCCAGAAACAAAGGTAATTTGGGTCGTGGTGATGACATTTTCAGGGTAGGTGTAAAGTTGATCAACTCGAGGGCACTGAAAGTTTCGTGGCGATCAGCCGCTTTTTGCGCGAGTTAGGTACCTATTCGGGAAAAAGCTAGGTGGTCCGTCCTCCCTCCCCCTTTAAGTGCGAGGGTTAAGGCAGCTCTTTTTTTCTCCGTCACCGGTCGGTTCCCTGTCACGATTGAATCGGTCGTTTAAACCTAGCAGTTTCGTTAAGCGATATGAAGACGGATTAATTCCAATACGGTGCGTCCACGGTCGTCTGAGGCACCGGAGGTGTGAAATAATACCGCACGTGGTGCACATCGCCCCTCCGTCACCCTGCAGTGCTGCCGGATTTTGTTGTTTGCACTAGGGTCGGTGTGCACTCAGCGGTTGATTTCCGGCGCCGGCTATAAGCGGCCGGTCACGTCGTGGTGCGGTGCGGGCATACGGACGAGGCGGGGATCTATGTCCACATCCGGTACCCGTCATCACATTCACCCAGGTGTCGATGGCTTCTGACCCCAGCCGGGTGCCGATCACCGGCGGCCGACCGCCCCCGGAATCGGCCGTGCCCACGAGAGGCGCCGGGCTTTGGGCTCAGGGAGATCCGACTTTGTGGGAGCTCGTTGCAGCGTTTATAGCTGAAAGGAATGCTGAGTGTCGGTACTCTGTCGCTCTGTGGAAACCCAGCAATCCTTGACCCAAAAGTGTTGTGGTGGATTAGATCGTCATCTGCCGTGAGCCGTTTCTGATGTTTTGATTTTCCTGTTCTCAGGGGTCTGGTCAAGAAGTACATGCCAAAGAAGAAGGACGAGGAGGACGGACAGTAAGTACCGCTGCTAATCGGGCTGTGGCTCACTCCTTCCCCTTGGAGTGGCCGTCACTCCGGCTGGTCTGTCTGCGTAGCCGTCCCTCCGTCTGGTCTGTCTGTGTGGCCGTCCTGCTGTCTGGTCTGTCTGCGTAGCCGTCCCTCCGTCTGGTCTGTCTGTGTAGCCGTCCTGCCGTCTGGTCTGTCCCTGTGAAGCCGTCCTGCCGTCTGGTCTGTCCCTGTGAAGCTGTCCCTCCGTCTGGTCTGTCTGTGTAGCCGTCCTGCTGTCTGGTCTGTCTGTGTAGCCGTCCCTCCGTCTGGTCTGTCTGTGTAGCCGTCCCTCCGTCTGGTCTGTCTGTGTAGCTGTCCCTCCGTCTGGTCTGTCTGTGTAGCCGTCCTGCCGTCTGGTCTGTCTGTGTAGCCGTCCTGCCGTCTGGTCTGTCGCTGTAGCCGTTCCTCCGGCGGCTGGTCTGTCTGTGTTGCGGTCCTGCCGTCTGGTCTGCCCCTGTGGCCGTCTGTATACGGTCTGTCTGAGCCGAGGTCTGCGTGGCGTCCCCGTGGTCCGTCTGGTGCGGTATGGTTCGCGGCCAGTCTGCTCTGGCCTGGTGCGGTGACTGACTGACTGCGGCGGTGGCCGTCTGCCGCGCGGCAGAGGAACTCGGTCCGATGTCTCTGTTTGTCTCGGCGCTCTGTCCCGCACCGCTCCGGGTGACGAGCTGATGTGGTACCGGGGAGGGGGCTGACACCGCGCCCCTCCGCCGCCGTCTGATCGGCCGCCGCCGCCGCCCGGGTGTGCCAGCAAACCGCCGACCGCCCGCTGCCTTTGTGACGCCGGTGATGCAGCGTTTCGCAACCTTGGCCGGATCGTGCGCTGCTCGCGATCCGCGGAAACGCCGCAGCCCGGCAGCCGGCGCGCGGGCGGCGGGGTGCTGAGAGCAGGCCGGGCCGGGCCGCCGCAGTCGGCACCGTTAGCGGCCGCCTGGCAGGGCCAGTGGCGGAGCGGCGGGGAGCCGCCGTCCCGTGTCACCCCGGCGCGCTGCCGGTCCGGCCGCCGCGGCGACTGCTGACCGGTCAGGTGCGCCGACCGCGGGTAGCCGTCAGATGCGCCGCGCCTACCGCCGGCGGCCGTCAAATGCGCCGCGCCGACCGCGGGTAGCCGTCAGATGCGCCGCGCCTACCGCCGGCGGCCGTCAGATGCGCCGCGTTGACCGCCTCCGGCGTGAGGACGCGCTCGGCGGCTCCGCTCTCACTTTCAGCGCACGTTGGGGGCGGACGGCGGCGGGCGGGGCCGGCTGGGGTGTACAGTCGTGTACAGGTTGATGGTCCCCTACTCTTTATCCACCGGGTTCGTATGGCTCAGCATTGGCAGCAGCCGCCTGGTACCGGTAGGCTGTGCCGCATGACGCGAGAGTGAAGCGGCACAGCCTACCCACACTGTATGACACCGGCTCGGGTCGCCTGGTAGAGCGATTTGACCGGACGCTGCGTTACACCGGCTGGGGGGAGGGGGGGGGGGGGGGTAAAGGTCAGCCCTGTCTATTTGGCTCGGCTCGGTGGATGAGGCGGGCTGGAGTGTGGTGTGGGGCTGGGGTGATGTGGGGAGGGAGTGAGCGGACCTGGGGCTGGGTGTGCGTGGTCACTTGTCGCATAGAACCGATCGTAATCCACCCTCCAAAAATTCGTTTTAGAGATATTCACAAAACCCACGGGGGTTCAAACACCCATCTCCCAAGTGGGGTGCGGAAGGATAGGTAAGGGTCCATACGGTCTCCTCATGCATTGCAGCAAAGAAAGAAAACAGACCTGTCACCAAATAATCTTTCTGAAAAATGGACTAATCACATAGCCTCGGACACAGAAATAAACACCCAGCACGCGAAGCGCCTCGAACCGGGCCTCTCACTACCGGTCAGTTTGACAGTCTAGCACTCCTACGCTGAGCTACACCGGATGGTGGCCACGGCCGGGGCAAAGTCTGGCCGGGCGGGCGGCGGGGCCGGGAGGTCGGCAGCAAAGTCAATGAATGTTTTTGTGGTTACGGGTGCCGGTCGCTCTAGCTTGGTGGAATGATGATGGATCATTGGCAAAACTTTAAACGTGGAGTCCCGGTTCGAGCCTCATCGAGGCTCCGGCTACTTTTCCGAGCTAGGATCTGGTTTGATTTTAGTGGTTGCGAGCCATTTATACGGTTTTATATCTACATGTCGATTGTCGATTGATTGATTCATTCATTCATTCGTTCATTTAATACATGTCGACATTTAGCATACGAATTGACATCCAGGATCAATCCGATCAATCTACCATTTTCATAAGCGTATTGCCTAAATATCATGCATATATGTGGCACAAGACCTATGGTTGCCTCGATACCATGCCAAATCACGTTTTGCACAATGCACAAGTAAATTATATTCGCTGGGTCTTCCGTGCATTGTGCTTAGCAAAAACAGGAATGCAATTGTTAAGCGACGCAAAATGCGCAATGCAGCAAGTGACCACACACACCCGCCCAGCCCCCATGGTCCACCAACATGCCCCACACCACTCGCCAGCCCACGCCAACCACCGAGACGAGCCCCTCCCCCCCCCCGCGCTGGTCTGACGCGACAGCTGGTCTACAAAGCGCTCCACCCGGCGACCCGAGCCGATGTCAAACGGCGTGGGTAGACTGTGCCGCTTCACTCTCGGGTCATGCGGCACAGCCTACCGGTACCAGGCGGCTGCTGCCAATGCTGAGCCATAGGAACCCGGTGGATAAAGAGTAGGGGACCATCAACCTGTACACGACTGTACCACGGGCCCGTCCGGCCCGCCCCGCCCGGCCAGTTATCGCGGGGACCGGAGCGTGTCGCGGGTGACCTCCGGCCGGCGACATGGGCTCGGCGGCAGCGGCTCCAGCCGACCGGGGTTTCGGAGATCGGCGGCGAAACCCCGGTCTCGCCGCCGATCTCCGCGGCGAGACCGGGGAGATCGGTCTCCCCGGTCCGGCGGCGGATTGGCGGCCATTCAGCCAGCTCCTCGTTTGCTACAATGGGTGTGGACTGTGGGTGTGATGTAACCTGAGCGTCATCTGCTGTTCCACCTTTCATGACCGCCTCATGGGTCATAAACTTGGTGAGCTAGGCACTATGAACTTGAACTAAGTGAAGGTCTCGCGCTCGTCCAAAGTTGTTTTAAAGTTATTGCGATTTTTTTCGGCTCAGGCCCGAACAGAGGTGGTCGAAAATGTTCTTCTATTTGAGCCCCGGTCGGTCGCTCGGCTGTCTGAGGACGGTACCGGTGGTCACTGGACCTTCCCGCGGGGTCGGGAGTCGGACCGGGCCCGGTCCCGGGCCGGTGGTCGGTGGTCACTGCTGGACCTCCCCGCGGGGTCGGGAGTCGGGCCGGGCCCGGTCCCGGGCCGGTGGTCGGTGGTCACTGGACCTTCCTGCGGGGTCGGGAGTCGGACCGGGCCCGGCAGACGGCCGGTGGTCGGTGGTCCACAGCCGACGCGCCGCGCTGACACAGCCCCCGTGACACACCGCACCGGAACAGTCGCTGACGAGGCGTCCTGGGCCGTGAGTGGGCGGACTCTGCGGCGGTCCCGGGCCGGCTCAGCCTGTCCGGGAGACCCTGACAGTGACCGTCCGTGTCCTATAGTCCTTTCGGCCACACCCTCTATCGTCCCGCGCCGCCCTGCCGTCCCCGCTGACAGAACTGAGCCCGTGTGCCGCGATACGACACTAGCCGCGCGGGCGCCAACCGATAGTACTCCGGCGCCCCTCCCCCGTCCGGCACAAGGCTGCCACAGGACGGCGATAACCCGACCAACAACAAAAATACCCTCGCCTGAGTGCCGGCGCAAATAAAGCAGCGCAATGCCTTCCACCCAGGGCAAACTTGTCAAGTAGACAAATAATGCGAGGAGTCTAGGACGGGTCGGAGTTTTCCCATATCCGGGGGCGCGGTGATCGACATGGGTCTGTAGTGGCATGACTCAAATGTATATCGCCGGTGTCCCAGTCGACCTGACTCGGCACTGGCCGCCAGCTCAGCGCTCTTGCTCTATGTCGGGCAGGGACCGGGCAGTCGGTACAGACCGTCAGCGGTGTCTCACGCACTGACTCATTCACGGTCACCGGCATCCAGCCGTCACCGCGCCCCGGCCCCGGCGGCACTGCACGGAACGCCCACCTCCGGCGCAGCGGTAGCGGAGGTGGCACAGGGGGTCGTGGGGGGGGGGGGGTGGATGTCGGAAGTCGGTGTCCCGCTTCAGCTCAGTCCACCCCAGGTGCTGGAATACTCCCCAGTACCCCCGGCTACTCCCCAGCAGCCGCGGACTCGGTCCGGGCGGAATGACGGGCTAACGCGCTGTGTCGGCTAGCGAGGCGTGATGGCTCCCAGGACTTCTGCAATCTGCATATCTACCTGTAAGGACCGCGGCCACAGGTCTGTCGCAGGGTAACCGTCACCGTTGGCAGGCGCAGTATAACCATCACCGTTGGCAGTTGCAGTGGGACTGTCACCGGCCGTGGCGGGCCCCGGGTGACTGTCCCAGTGTGACTGTCGCCGGTGGCGGGCCCCGGGTGACTGTTGCCGGCGGAGTGGGGCGGTGGCGCGGCGGGCTCACCTCCGTCCGCCGGCAGTGATTTAAATCCTCCGACTGACCGGTCTCAGTCCGGGGCCGGGCCCGTCGTCTCAGCCCGGCCAGCTCGGGTTGTGAGACACGCCACTCTGCTGCAGCAGGTCAGGCCCACGCGCCGGATCACCCTATAGCACGGCCAGGTCGAGGACTGTAGTGTCCGATTGTGTGTGTGTGTGCGGGGGTGTGGGAGGCCCTGCGGACAAGGACAGTGGCCGACGGCCGACAGTGGCCAAGGACAGTGGCCGACACTCCGTGAGGACGGACACCGGAGTGCCGTGGGCGGCCGGCTGGCTGCAGCTAACCGCTCCCACCGTGCCACGCCGCCGGCTGGAGACGCCTCCCCGAGGGGCGGGATCCCGGACCGCTGTGGAGTGGATGCTCTCAGCGGCCG